AGTCTAGTTGTGGAGGACGTTGCTTCACTGGCCCAAGTTGGTATCATCATTGCGCTCTTCCCAGGTGAGGCAGATCAGTCGCCGGCCACTGGACAGCCACTCACAGTGGCTCTTGGCAGCTCACTCTGGCTGCCAGCCACACACGGTAGCTTATGGCAGCCCACTGCAGCAAGGGCTGCGGCCTACACCATCGCTGGTGACTCAGGGCAGCCCAGCTCCAGGTCGAGCTGTTGTTCACCATCTTAGCTGTAGAGGGCAGTGTCACTGGCCCATGTGGGATCCGAAACGGGGCCCTGCTGCTCAGAGCTGGTGTCCAGGGACCAATTTTTGTATCAGTTATTATTGCTGAATAACAGACCACCCCAAAATTTAGTGGCGTAAAGTAATGATCATTTATTTTCTCATGACCCTGAGTAGACAGTTGTTCTACTCCCTGCACTGCTCATTAGAATCTTCCTTTCCCCACTGCTCTACAGCCCCCTTTGTCATAAGTCAGCTGTCCATATATATGTGAGTCTGTTGCTGGACTCAATTCAACTGTTCTATTGATTTATTTGTCTATTCTTGTGCCAATATCTTATGCTCTTATTGACCCTAGCTTTATAAGAAGTTAAGTCATGGTATCATTCAAAGTAAGTCTTACCACTTTGTTCCTTTTCGAAGCTGCCTTTGCTATTCTTGACCCTGTGCATTTCCATACACATTTTATAATGAATTTGTCACACACACACACACACACACACACACACACACACACACACACTTGCTGGCTTCCGATTGAGATTGTATTGAGTAATAGGTTAGTTTGGTAGAACCAACATCCATACAGATGTATACTCTTATTTATATCTTTAAAATTTTTTCTTGATAAAAAATTTTTAGTATCCTTTTTTATTTAAATTGGATTTCTTTTTAAAAAGAAAGGTTTTGGGGTTTTTTATTGGGGAACAGTGATGGTCATTGGTTACACATTGCTTTCATGCTACAATGGCATAGTTGACTCTTTTTAAAGAGGGCACAGCTCACAGTGGCCCATGCTGGGATCGAACCGGCAACCTTAGTTTTATCAGCACCACGCTCTAACCAACTGAGCTAACTGGCCACTCCTTAAATTCGATTAAAAAAATTTTTTTTTAGAAATGATATATTGTTTTTTAATAAAGATTTGTTGTTACTATACAGAAATACAGATTTTTTTTAATGTTGCCCTATGGACAGCAAGCTTGCTAAATTTAGGCATTAAATCTGTAGATTGTTTAGTATTTTCTACACCAATAAATAGTGAAAATTTTATTTTTTCATTTTTAATTGTTTTACATTTTATTTTATTGCGTTATTACATTGGACAGAACAATGTTGAATAAGGGTGGTAGTAGCTATCAGAGGGCAAGTTTCAACATTTCCTATTAAATGTAATGTTTGCTATATTTCCTATGTCTTTATTTGGGTTAGGAAGTTCTGTTCGAGTCCTAGTTTGTTAAGATTTTTTTGTTATGAACAGGTGTTAAAGCTTTAAAAAATGCACTTTTTTTTGTTTCTTCTGAGATTACCATATAATTTTTCTCCTTTGTTTTGTTAGTGATGATAAGTACATTGATTTTGTAATATTAAACAAATATAAATCCAAGAATAAATCCACCTTGGTGGTGATATAGTATCTTTTATATATATTGCTAGGTTTGGTGTTCTAATATTTTGGTCAGGATTTTTACATCTATGTTTATAATAATAAACCTATAATATTCCTTCCTCGTAAGGTCCTTTTTGGGTTTTGGTATCTAGGTTATGCTGACTTTATAAAAGGACTTGGGAATAATTCCAACTTTTTCTATTCTCTTGAAGATTTTGTGTAAGTTTACAGTTATTTCTTCCTTAAATGCTTGGTAGATACAAATATTGGTTCCAGGAGTAAAGTGCTGCCATAATAACAGCAACAAACTTCAAATTATGTGGCATTAACATGCATGTCTGGCAGCATGAAATTGTTATTGAAATTGTTATTGGACACTTGGAAAGATGGCAATCCATGTTATGCAGTGGAAAAAAATTTGTAAAACTGTAGTCTTGAATAGGGTAAAGGGCATATTATATACCTAATGAGCTTTGTACTTTATGCAAAGAGGCAGAAAATTGATGCTATTAGAACAAGTTCATTACTAATGACTGCATTTGTCAAGATACTATAAGAAATAGAGGAGCCCAGAACATATTTGGCTAGTGTGCAAGTAGGAATATAAAGGAATTCAGAGATAGCCAAAAAACTCAGGTACTTGCAAGGTTGGAAGGTGTAATTGACTCACAACTTCAACTAGTAAAACAGCAGCTGAGAAGGCCTTTGAGCAACACATACTGTTTAAAACTCTGCCTAGCAGCAAGGACCAAGTCAAGGATATGGCTGTCACACTATCATTAGCATCTCTGAATGGAACAAGGCAGTATCCAGCCAATACTTTCAGTTGGAAAAATATCTCAGGGAAGGGAGATGTAGGGTTTGGGTTTCCTAAGGAAGCCTGATAGGCTCAAAATACTTGCAATTAAATTGAGAGAGAGAGAGAGAGAGAGAGAGAGATCTAAAAAAATGTGGCGTGTAGCACTGCCTAGAATCAAATAAATAACTTGAGGTAGATTGTAAGAATGTGGTTTTGTCAAAAGAATCACCAAATTGCAAGGGATTAACCTTTTTATATGTCATTATTCTTCTTTACAAGTGGGAATATTTGTTGAGGTTATCCTTTCCCTGTCCTACCATTATATATATTGTGTATAGAGGGTAGGGCCAGATAACTTAGCTTATTAGTTCAGAGATCTCTAGATCAGGAAGACCTCTATCTGGATTTGTGGATCTGTTATGAATCATTAATATCTCCTGGGACCTAAGCTAAAACTACCGATGAGATGGGTGTGTTTCTTAGGAAATGGATAAATGTATTCCGCATGTGAGAAAAGAAGGAAAGGATCTAAAGGGTGAACTTTGATAGGCTGTATTACTGTTCATGCTCTTGTATAATCATGTTCCCTTGAGTGTGGCTGGACCTAGTGACTTGCTTTTAACTAATAGAATAAACGTGATGGGATATTACTTCTGAGATTAAGTTACAAAGAGTCTGTGGCTTTTCTTTTGTGTGCCTTCTCTGGCTTTTTCACTTGTTCATTCTGATGAAAGTCAGCTGCCATCTGAACTGCCTTCTGGAGAGGCCCATGTGGCAAGGAAGGCAAAGGAGACCTCCAGCCAACAGCCAGTGAGAACTGAGGCCTTCGGTCCAATAGCCCACGAGCAACTGAATCCTGCCAACAACCATATGAATGAGCTTCAGATCCTTCAGATGAGACGAGTCCTGGCCGGTACCTTGACTGCAGCCATATGAGAGACCTTGCAGCAGAGGTACCTATTATGGACTTAATTATATCCCCCCAAATTCATATGTTGAAGCCCTAATCTCCAAGGTGACTATATTTGCAGACAGAACCTATAAGGAGGTAGTAAAAGTTAAATGAGGATGGAGGCATGGGACCTTAATCCAAGAGGACTGGTGTCTTTATAAGGAGAAGAAGAGACACCAGAGATGTGAGTGTGAGTGTGAGTGTGTGTGTGTGTGTGTGTGTGTGTGTGCGCATGTGTGAGAGTGTGTGTGTGTGTGTGTGTGTGTGTGTGTGTGAGTGTGTGCATGTGTGTGTGTGTGTACGCACAGAAGAGCGTGTGTATATGCACAGAAGAGAGGCCTCATGAGGACATAGCGAGAAGATGGCTGTATAGAAGCCAGGAAGAGAGCTGTCACCAGAAACCATCCCTGACAGCACCTTGATCTTGGACTTCTAGCGCCCAGAACTGTGAGAAAATACAATTTTGTTGTTCATGCCACCCCGTCTGTGGCATTCTGTTCTGGCAGCCTGAGGAGACTAAGACTATGTGGTCCTCCACTAAGCTGTGCCTACATTCCTGACCTACAGAAACTTTGAGATAATAAGGGTGTGTTGTGGTTTTTTTTTTTTTTTTAGCTGAGCCATCCCGCCACCTGTTGGCAGCTCACTGGCTGCTCAGCTCGGGCTGGACTCGAACCGCTGTTGCTCAGAGCTCAAACTCTTGAGCGAGCTCTTAACCAACTGAGCCACTCGGCCGGCCCTTAAGGGTGTGTTGTTTTTAGCTGTTAAATTTTGGGAAAATATGTTATGCAGCAATAGATAACTAATACATTAGCCTATTTTTTTTCTCTCTACATTTTTTTAAATTTGTGTCCTCAAAAGATAGAGTGGTGGAGCATTCTCTTTGAGCCCTTCACATTCTTGCTTTCCAAGGAGAGAGAAAGTCAGTATTCCTGGCTGATAAAGAATTATTCCAATTTCTGAGTCTTTCTCCCAGAAAAGTGAAAAAACAACCCTGGCTTAGATTCAAATTTGGGTGCAAGTAGATAAGGACAGAATAAATTACACTAATTTGGCATGCCAGAACTCCCTGTGTATATTTGTATGGATTCTCTTCCATGGAGCTATATATATATTTATATATATATATGAATTGTGGTAATTATATGTATATAAATGAATTGCTGTAATTATATAATTCCTATAAAGACAATATTAATATACTGGATGTTTCTAGGTGATCTTAAGTAAACATCTATTGAAATGAACCTATAGTTTTTAGGACTGGAAGAAAATAATTTGCTGAAATGTCAGCTGGGAATTCTTCCAGGAAATCCCTGGAAATGGAGAGCTTCCACACAAGATTCAGTGCCTGGACACCGTTTAGCAACAAGTCATTAAACAGACAGGTGAGTTACATCCTCTGGAGTAAAACAACTTAGCTTGTAAGGCTAATTTTACTATGATATTTTAGGTCTCATGTTGCCATATTTTTTTTTTTAAGAAAAGTTCTAGAGAATTTAGGTTTTGAGTTACTTTAAGCAAAAATAAATCTACATTTGTCTGCGCCAAACATGGTCTCTTCTCACTCCAGTCCCCAAGTCTTACCTTATGGGAGGCTCAAGATCTGTCTACCCCCTTTCCTCTGTACCTCCAGGGACAAAATAGAAATCTCCAGAGCACACACTTGTTCGCCATAATGGAGGAGGAGAAAAGTGGAGGCGTTTTGGTGGCATTTTGGAGTGGAGGGTGTTAATGTGTATCTCTCTGTGTATTTCTTTCATCCTCTAGTCTCTCCTGTGCCAGCTGCATGGTTTGATGGCCTGGGGATGCCCCCTTTGAAAGGTAGTGCAAGTAGTAGTCATCGAATGGCTCTGTCAGAACTTAATGGAGGTCAGTTGGGTCCTCACAGCTCATGCGTGGTTCAGGCCCATTCACAAGGGAAGGAAACTAGACAGGTTGGGGCCAAAGCCTGAAAAATTAATAAAGCCAGTGAGTTTGTATATGTCACCTGAGCAAAGCTGGACTGAAACCCAGGTTTGGGGGAACACTGGTTCTGGGTGTATGTCTTCCCTGGAGACCCATCTAACAATGGCTATTTAGCAATATTTATTAACTTGCATTTTGGCGGATGCTATGAAGATATAGGACTGTGAGTTAGTGAAACCATACCTACTTCAAATTGCCTTGTTTTCCCAATTAAACAAGTGTAGTCTGTTTGTGTTTTCGAGATGAAATGTTTGGAATCTGTTTCCCCAGGCCACATGAGCTTAGGTAAAAACAAGAGCCGGGGTTATCTCTTTGTTGTGAAAGATGCCTCCCTGGGCAGCTCTGTAATTATATCACCGCAGCCTTTTCCACCAGCCCACCCAGCAAGCCTGGGCTTGTCTGTAGCCCTGAATAGAAGCAGTCTAAGCCAAAGGGAGAGACCCCTGCTGCATATGTGAAAGTGCTTTGTGAACTGTAATGTGCTATGCAAATATTAGCTGAGAGGTTGTTAGATCGCCTAAGGATTGCTTAGCAACTAAGAATATATTAAACTCTACAGAAAAATGTTGGTTTTTTCCCTCCTTCCTTTATAGCTCTTTCTGGAAAGAGTTGCTCTTATAAGTCATTGGTTTGACCTCTGGACTAACAAACAACGTCAAGAATTCTTATTCACGATATTTGTACGATGCACTAAATCACAACTAAGGTAAATGTAGTCTAATGGTGTCATTTTCATTGGTTCTTAGAGAAAATAAAATATAGTAAAATGTTTCTATAACCTTTAAGGGTCTTTTTTTTTCCCCCTAGGAAAAACAAATATAAAGCAATTGATATTTTAAGGTTTATAAATATACTCTTCTAGTGCCGCTTCCTCCTTGAGGGTGAAACGGGATCTTAGGGGCTTTGGTATCTTCCTGCCACAGTGGGGGGTTTAGTTTTTGCAAAAACTTGTAAATAGCTTCGGCCAGTGAATTTTTAACATTCGCTTAGTATATTAGATTCTCCTTGGAGCTATCAGACAGGTAAGAAATTTCAAGTAGATATCTGGTACATAGGTAAACACTCCATAGATATCTGTCACATGAATGGATGGATCTGAAAAATATCTGACAAGTGACCATGGCAGCAACATTTAGAAATAAGGGCAAGACGTGTACAGCAGTGGTCACTGATTGCCACTAGGTCCTTGTTATTATTCTGACCCTGCCCTCCTGTCAGGTAATTTACTTTGAAATACTCCAGCAGAGTCCTATTACTATTTGACAGTGTTAGTTGAAATACCAGGGGTTGCTAGTATCTTGACCAGGCAGGAATACTCTACATGCAGTTAGCATTGTGCTGGAAAGGGTACAGCCTCAGTTATTATCAGATACTTTGCTAATTAGCATAGCAAATATCAGACATTCGAGTTATTATAAGAGCAACTGGTGGCTTGTTAACTTGCCAGATGCATGTTAGAAATGCACTCTGTATGGTGAAACTAAAGGTATTCGGATGTGGGATAGACAGAAATGTTCTAGAGAGCCCTCCAGCATACCTAGACTTGAAGAATCCAGCCAGGCTGGTGGCAGATGCTTGTAAGGATGGTTTTCCAGGATTCATCCCCAAATAAATGGCCTTGTCAGTCTGGGGATTTCTGGTATCCTGAGACCAACAATAAGGGCAGTGACAGAAACCTGTTTCTGGAACTCGTCTTGTTTCTTGTCCTTTCTCAATTGACTGAAACTTTCACCCAAAGGATAGACAGCTGCGACTTCATCAAGCTTACAGAGGAGAGACTGTGTAAAGTAGTTTGGGCCTTTTTACTAACGTTTGCTTACTGAAAGTCTAGGTGTGGCGTAATTTGGTCTTAATGGCTTGCACCACAACGTGGTGATGAAGTTGTTGGGAGAGGTTAACTATTGAACCTCTTAGGTAGCTATCAAAAAGTGCCCAAGAGCTGTACAAGACCAAATTGGATTATTTTACTTTGCAATACCTGCCTCCCACTTTTTCTTGCATTTTTTCCTGCCCATTTCTTGCAATCAGCCATTTCATCTCTCCTAACTACTCGCCCACCTTCTCCGTTGTCACCTTTTTCCTGCATCTGTGGGTGCATAGTTGTCCCTGATGATGTCACACTGAGTCACAGGACACCTTCCTAGCTGTGTTGACAGAGGCTGCAAAGACAAGCCACAGAGAAATAGGCTCTTCAGTCAATGCTTAAAAATCAGGGAAGTGAACTTTTTATTGTAGTCATTGGCTAGGATTCCTTTTCCTGCAACTTTACAGCTTTCAAGATAAGAAAATAATAGACCAAACTTCACATCCATAATAGCTTTGTGGTGTGGTCTCATGTATTATAAACCAAGCTATTTTAGTTGTAACCACTAGAGGTCATTAGAGATCTTGTGGTATACTTTGAGGCTTATTAACATTAAGCCTGACATTTTGTCAATGGAAACTGCATTCTTTGTCTGGTACCTGAATTCTTCTTTCTATGTGACAAAGATATGAAACTCACCTGTTCAGTGAAATTACTTCGCTTTGTTTCACAGCAGCTGTGTTTCTGCAGAGAGCTGTATGTAGTTCACAGTCCCACAAAGCTGTTATTACATAGTCTGGGCTGCTGATTTCAGGGGAAGTTGTATGTCAATTTCTGGTCTGTAGGTTTGGCATCCTGCACTCATCTTTAATTTGTAGTGGTGGTTTTTGTTGTTGAACACCAATCAGTTCACTCCCCAAAGTCTGGATTAAGTCTTTCTTATACTACTTCCTCCCCTTTTCTTTCAGTCAGCCATTTCTTGCCTACCAACATCTGCAGATACCACGTGCTGATAGCCTGATCCAATTTGAACTGTGCTCAATTTTAATTAAATCTAAAAGCCCAACTCACTTTATTTTTTAGATTAAAGTTAGTACAATCAACTTTCAAACATCTTTGTTGAGATATAATTCACAGATATTAAAATTCATCCATTTGAAGAGTACAATTCAATGGCTTTAATATTGGGTTGTCGGAAAAGTTATGACACACTTTTTCTGTTATTTTTTAATTTTATTTCATTTTTATTTTTTTTAGCTGAGCCATCCTGTGCAGCTCAGCAGCAGCTCAGCTCAGGCTGGGCATTGAACCGCTGTTGCTCAGAGCTTATTAAACTCTTGAGCGAGCTCTTAACCAACTGAGCCACTCGGCTGGCCCTTATTTTTTCTGTTTTTTGTTGCAAAAATGCGTCATGACTTTTCCAACAACCCAATAAAATCACAGAGTTGTGCCACCATCACCACGATCTGAGTTTAGAAGATTTCCATCACCCCAAAAAAGAAACCCCTGACCTATTAGCAGAATCTCTTCATCTCCATCTCCCAGCACTGGGCAACCATTAATCCACCTTCTGTTTCTATAAATTTGCCTTTTCTGGACTTCTTATATAAATGTAATCATACAATATATGTTCTTCTGTGATTGGCTACTTTCATGTATTATAAGGTTCTCAAGGTTTATCCATTTTTTGGAGGCATATATTAGCACGTCTTTCCTTTTTATTGCCAGATAATATTCCATTGAATGAATATGCCATATTTTATCCATTCATCAGTTGATGGGCATTTGGATTGTTTCCACATTTTGGGTATTGTGAATAATGCTGCTATGAACATCTGTGTACAAGTTTTTCCATTATGGAAGTCTTTATTTCTTTTAGGTACATACCTAGGAATGGAATTGCTGGGTCAAATGGTGACAGGGCAATCACCTTTTAATTATTAAGCATTTCTTTTGAATCATATTTATTCCTACAGTCCTTGTTCCCCCATAACTGTGAATAACCTTGTGAATAAATGAGATAATTTATCATTGTTCAAATGCCTGAAATCTTTACACTTAAGCTAGGCTATTTTTTGTGCAAAATACCTTGTTTTCAAGGCAGAGAAGCCATTGTTTTAAATGTTTTGTTCTATAATTTCTGAAAACTATTGTTTTATTTCAGGCAGTTACAGCTATAAAGCTTAAACAAGATATTGCAGTATTGGTCAGAAATATGTTGTCACAACTTTCTTTAAAGGTTTCTTGTTACTCTCTAAGAGATATATTCAAATATCTAAGATTTTCCCTTTCTGTCCTAATAAGTATTCCATATTGTTAAGATTTAAGATTTCTTAAATGGAGTTTTATGATATTTAAGACATTTTAAAAAAGTTCAGCTTTTTAAACCATCCCTCTGGCAAATTCTCCTTCTCACTTCAACTTAAGTGTCACCTTTCCTGGGAAGGCTTCCCTGCTCACCTTTCACCCCCAGCAATTTTTACAAACCTCTATCATGGCGTTTCCCCCAATACATTACGCTTATATGGCCACATGTCTAATGGTTTCCAGGGGTGTCGTCCCCAGCCACTGGATTAGGCTGACCTTTCCTGTGACTCCTTAAAGGAAACTGAGCTGTTTGTGTCTGTCACACTTCAAGGAACCCATGAGAAGTTTGCATGAGTCTCCTAGCCACACTGGTGAGACCGGTTTCAAATCGCCTCTGCTCCTTACCCGGTAACACCTTATACAAAGGCCTTGCACTCCAGGGCTGGAGCAGTTCAAACTTGTAGCTTTCCCTGGTGGGTGGGGCAGCATTCATGCAAATTCATTCCCAAGAAATGGATACATTGTCTGTGTGTGTGTGTGTGTGTGTGTGTGTGTGTGTGTGTGTGTGTNTGTGTGTGTGTGTGTGTGTGTGTGTGTGTGTGTGTGTGTGTGTCTGTCAGGGACAGGGACAGGGAGGGGGAGATAATGAACAGTGAAGGGGAGATAATGAACAGTGAAGGATTAGCGATCATTATTTGTCTCCCTTACAGCTGATTGGAAATGGGGTTGGAGGGCAGAAAAATGTACCGGCCAATATACAGTCAAGAGAGCACACGCCCCAAATCCCACTTCACTATATCCGCTGCTCTTTCCAAGCAGCCCCTGGGAGAGCTCAGTGAGGCTGTGTATCTCAGTTGTGAACTGTGAAGAAATCTTATATATAAATTTTTCAGAAACAACATACTCCTGGGTTAATTTTGAATGGAGAACAGGTAGAAAACAACTACATCACTGTGAGTTACTGAATGTCCATTTGAAAGAATATTTCTGTGTGGAGGCGGTGGATAGGAGGAGAGGGTCTGCAGAGACACGCTGAGGTTCTAAATATCTAACATGGTCTTGAAGTTTTGGTCATCCTGACTCTTCCCCACCCTTAGCCCATATTCTGGACATGTTCCTATCCTTTCACATAGACCAGATGGGCATAGGTAATGGGCATATATTAGCATTTGTTGTTGGGGTGGTTTGAGGGATGGATGAAGCTAAGAAAGAAAATCCTTGAGTTTAAAAGGAGAAATGGACAACCCAACGCTGTTTTATTGGGCGGGGATGGTGACAGAGGGACAGTGGAGAGTGGGACGGTCATTGGCTATATTAAGTAAACCTGTGCACTTGAAGTTCTCACTTCCCATTTTATAAACTGTGCCCCTCTCCCTTAACAATGTTTAACTTATCTCTGTAGCACTTAGCACCACCTGACATCCGGTGGTACACAATGCTTGGTGGTTTCTTTATGGTCTGCCTACTCCGCTGGAATGTAGCTCCTTGAGGGCAAGAACTTTTTCTGGTGACTCTCTCTGACACTTAAGCAATGCCAGGCACATAGTAGTCACTCAATAAATGCGTGTTGAATGAATGAAGATGTCTAAAAGACT